ATTTGAATTCAGGAACGTTCCAAGTACAGCCCAACATGGAAATTCCTGGAATTAATTCATTCATGGCCTCTTATCATGTGTCCCCACTACAGATAAAAATAAAGGACAAGAGATTAAGTTACTTTTTGTTTTAGCTCAGGAGGAGAGTCACAAAAACAGCCAAATAAAATTACAAGATAATATCAAATAGTGATTATGCACCGAAGACAGTAAAACAGATTGATGCCTGGCAAAACAACAACAACAACAACAACAACAACAACAACAAACCCTGAAAATAACCCAAATGCTCATCAACAGGTGAATGAGTACACAAAGTGTAGACAGGAAATGAAATACTGATGTATACAACAACAGGATAGATCTCAAAATGGTGCTTGATAAAAAAAGAAACAACAACACTACATGCTGTATAATTCACTTTACAGAACATTCCAGAGAAGGCAAGTGAATCTGTCATAACAGAAACAATCCACTGGCTGCCTGGGGCTTAGGGCAGAGAGGACCGGCCGCACAGAGGAACGTCTAGAGCAATGGAAATACTCTGTATTTTGCTTATGGTAGTTGTTTCATGGATGTATCCACATAATACAACTCATCACGCTGCACACTTTCAATGGATGCAGTTTCCTGCACGTTAATGAAACTTCAGTAAAGGTGGTTTGAAAACATGGGACAATGACTGTGTTTGTGCTGAGAACTAGGTGATGAGAAGGATGTTCGGGGTGTAAGGAACCAGAGAGGTGTAGTCCAAGGGCACCCAAATGTTTTCAATCCATGGTGAACCAGGAACCAGTAACTGGCCCCCGATGCAATGAGAAAGTTCAGCGTCTGAAGAGAATGAAAAAGTAAGAGTAAGACCCATCTCAAAGTTTTAATTATCACCAGGCACTGGCCTTGGAAACAAGGTCAGTAATAAAGTGCTCTTCTCTCCTGGAGCAAACTGCCCCTACGCCAACCAGTGACTTCCGTAATGGCCCTCACGAGATCAGAAAATGTGGTGTGGCACACGGTTCTCAGTAATTGTTACCAAGTACAGTGGTAACTTGTGATTTTTAAAATATGATTCATAAACTTTGGTCTCATACCTATTTTTCTTTGGCAGGACTCCTTCATAGTGCCCTGCCTCCGTGATGCTTTCATTGACTTTTATTGAAATTAGACTTGAACAGCTCAGGGCCCGTCTTGTCCATGGGATGTCCAGCTGTCCAGGCACATAACTGTAACGTCAGACCCTGTGAGCCAACTCCCTCACAAATGCCAGCCAGCTCAGGAAAACCGGTTTATTTATTTGTCTCTCTAATTTTCATGTTTGTTTTGTTAGGTTTGACTGAAGATCTGCAGACCACATTCTGAGATCAAGCACGTTCTATCTGCTCCAGGACGTGTACCCGATGCCTAATACCCCATTTTTACTGATGAAGAAACTGAGACCCAGAGATATTACATCACTTCCATAATGGAACAGCTAAGACCAGAATTCAAGTTAGACTTTTGCCATCCACCACATTGCCCCCCACTGCATATTTATTGAACATCTTTTACGTGCTCAGCACTGTGTTGGAAAGGACAACCCATAGAAGATCTAAAAGAAATGGTCTCTATGCTTTAGAAGTATAATATTTGAGCCCAAGCCTAAAAAGCACGAATACCACAGGGAAGTTTATTCAATTATTGAGCACCTATTATGCAAGGCACTGATAATCTGGACACTGAAAAAAGATCCAGGGTTTTCCATGCGGTGAACCCCCTTCACACCTGTGTCTTAGTGACCTTCACAGCAGCACCAGTAAGTAGGAATACTGAAATCCCATTTTACAGCTAAGGAAACCACTGTAAAGAAATGTTAAATAAATGTTTGCCTAAGGTTACACAGCTAGGAGTGGAAGAGCTGGGTTTTTCCTGGGTCTATCTGACTCCAGAATGGGAGTCCTTATGCAGTGTGTCCCCCGTCTCTCTATTACCATTGCAATTGGAATTTTTAAATTCAGGATAAAAAAGAATAGACTCGTTGGTTGAGCTTGAGCGGTAGAGTTGGTTTCCGCTCAGGCCGTAGTCTCGCCCCTAAGTGGGCTCTGCACTGACAGTGGGGAGCCCGCTTGGGGTGCTCTCTCTCCCTCAGTCTCTGCCCTTCCTTCTCCTATGCGTGCACACACTCTTTCTCTCTCTTTCAATACATATACTTAAGGGGAAAAATGAGTTAAAAAAAGAAAAAGAGAATAAGCATTGGCACTCACCCTTAAGCTCATTGGGAATGCAGGTCATAGAGACTACACTCTATGGGACAGGGCGTTTGGACCAAACCATCCACATACACTATACGGCACCATAAAAACCCGGCTCCAAGGAACCAACTTCAACAGAGCTTGTACAGGTCTTCCATATTGTAGCATTCGGTCCCCTCCCAGTCCAGCCACCTAACTGGCACCATAATAACGTCCATCATAGTAAACAATAAGCATATTTTCAAGACAGACCAAAGAAGCAAGAGGTTACAGATCATCTGAATGCAGTGATCAACTTTCCAGAACCAAACACCAGGATATATTGCCTCACGAATTCTTATGTGCTTACGGGAACAATGGAAGAGCATATGTAAAATCAGGACTGTCCTCAAAACCGAGAACTGTATGGGGCTATATGTCTGTCATAACCTTGGACACTGTAAACACACATGATTCGTTTCTCTTAGAAGTGAAAAATGCCTCCCAAGGCTTTGAGAAAATAAGCACTGGTGAGTGTTGATTTTTTTCCAAAGTGGATGGTTGGTGACAAGACTTACCAAATACGTAATTGCTGTAGGATATGCCAAAGATGGCAAAGAACAAGCCAGTATATCAGATTAGGTGTGACTCTTGAATTACACCCTTTTAGCAAAAACAAGCACCCTTAGTATTTCGTGTATCAGCCCTTCAAGTGTTAGTTCCAATCTACTTTTCCAGTCTTCTTTCCCCCTCCTCCTTCTCTGACTCAACCAGACTGGTGCCATGCCTGGGATCTTATAGGCACTTAACTGATATTTGTTCAAAGAAAGAGAGAGAGGAAGAAAGGAAGAAAGAGAGAGAAAATGAAATGATAAATATAATCACGGCTGAAATGGACTCATGTTATCTTCCTGCTCCCCTCTATGCAATCCTATTCTAAAGAAAGGATCTGATAAACTTAGTTCTAAGTGCCATCAAACCTGACCACGAGAAGCTTCTAACTAATCCAGAGCAGTGGTTTTCAACCCTGGCTGCACATAAGAATTACTCAGAGAGTTTTAGAAAAACACTAATGCCCAGCTCCCACGCCCACGCTGCCCTGAAAATCTGATTCAATTGAACTGGAGGGACACCCAGGCCCTGATGCCTTATTTATTCATTTATTTTTAATTTTTTAATGTTTATTTATTTTTGAGAGATGGAAAGCGAGCGGGGGAGGGGCAGAGAGAAGGAGACACTGAATCTGAAGAAGGCTCCAGGATCTGAGCTGTCAGCACAGTGCCTGATGCAGGGGTTGAACTCAAGAACCGTGAGATCATACCCTGAGCCAATGTTGGACACTTAACTGACTGAGGCACTCAGGTGCCCCTTGGTGCTTTATTTCTAATGTGCGGACAGGGTTGACCGTTTCTGGCACAGTCCAATCCCCTCAGAGGTCCAGAGACTTGATCACTTCTCCATGGCTGGAGAGCTGGTGGATGACAGAGTGGGGATATAAACTCACAGCATCATTGGGTCAGTCTAGCCTTTATCAGCTCTTGATCTCATGATATTCTTTCTTCTCTCGTAAATTTCTCAGACTTCAGTTTTTCTCGTTCATATACTCATTTAACAAATAGTTATTAAGCACCTACTCTGTGCCAGGTCTACAGCAGTGAGCAAAACAGCCAGCTTCCTCTCACCTTGGCCTCAGCAGAAAGCCCTCACACCTGGATGCCTTTCTCAATTTGGATCATTTGGTCTCCACTAGTTTGTGAATTTCTCGGGACTAGGAGCCACGAGTTATTCATTTTTGGAGCTGCAGAGCCTAGCACATTGCCCGGTTTGAAGGCAGATTTGATAAAAGTTTGACGAATAAACAAATACAAGCAATTCCTAAATCCCCACATGTGCATAAAGAAAACAGAAAAATGTCAAGAAGACCACTTGTGTCAGTCAAGACTTTCTCAATTCTATGTCATTGAAATCTAACTTAAATTCTCTCAGTCAAGAGAGGGTTTTACTTGTTCCTATCTGGCAAAGGCAAAAGTGCAGAATCCCAGAGGTCAGACCATGTTATTAGGGCTCAAGCTTCCTTGGCGGCTCCCGGTTAGCTCCGTTTGTGTCCCGTTGGCTTCATTCTTCATTCACAGGCTCTCCATGTGACAGGCAAGATGGTCCTCCAGAATTCTCCCGTTCGTGTCCTCTGGTTTCAGCAATCCCAGCAATGGTGACTCATTCCCAGGGCAGGCTCCAAAGGCCCATGTGCCCATCCCTGAATCAAACACTATCTGGTTCAAACATTCCCCTAATGCTGAGTATCTCCCAAGGGCCAGCCTTTGCAAACAAGTAGGCTGTGAAAGAACACTTGGATAGATGGAGGGATGGATTGGTGCGCCGATAGATGGGTATGTGGGTGGATGGATGGGTGGGTGGGTGGATGTGGATAGATGGATGATGGGTGGTGGGTGGATATCATTAGTATACAATGGCTCCACCCAGAGCCGCCTGGTGCGCCGATAGATGGGTATGTGGGTGGATTCCCTCCCTCCTGCCGTCCAGCATCTAGCTGAATCTGGAATCAATACCAGGTCACTGGGTGTGAACGGAAGGAGACTGCTCGCTATTTGCCATTATTTACTTCTGAGTGCGTGCATTCCCGCTGCTTCCCATTCTGTCTCTCCTTTCCGCTCCTTGGGAACTGGCTCAGCCACAACACGATCACCTCATCTGCATTTGGCCCTGGAGGACTCGCCAGACTCAGAGGAGGAGCGCAGAGGCGGCGGGCGGGCAGGCGGGCGGGAGCCGCACGGCGGCGGTGACAGCGCACAGTCGGGCCCGCGCTCGCCGCCCGGGAGTCCGTGCCGGGCCCGAGCCGCCGCGGGGTTGCTCATGAGGCCTCTGCCGAGCGGGAGTAGGAAGGACGGCGGCAAGCCCCTGGGGCTCCTCGCCCTCTGCCTGACCGCAGCCTGCTGTCTGCAAAGTAAGCGCGGGGCGGCGGGGGGCTGCGGGGCGAGCGCAGCGGGGAGGCTCGGGGCGCTGCGGGGCGGCGGGGTGACACCGGCCGGCGGGGTGGCCCGGGGGCCGGCGGGGCGCCGCGGGGCGGCAGTCGGGTCCCGGGTGGCGCGGCTGCTCGGCCGCAGGCCCGAGCCCACCTTGGGGGCCCCGGCTGGCAGGGAATGCGCTGCTCACGGCGGGGCTGGGCGCGTCCTCTGGGGCGCCTATCGCGGCGGGAGGGGACCGGCAAAGTGGAGGCTCTCCTGTCCCAGCACCTTGGGCCACTTGGGGGTGCCCTTCCCGGCCCTGCCCGGCCGGGCGTTATCAGAGCCGGAAGCCGGCGGAGAGATAACCGGCTCCTGGCCTGGCGGCCGCCGACTCGGCAATCTTTTCTATTTCTTTTTTCCTGGAATGACCAGAATGCAGCTGAGGTTTTGCGACCCCAAGGCCACGCGGGACCCGCCCCCTACTGTGGGGACCCCTCGTCCTCCCCGGGCTTCCCAGTCACCAGGACATTCTGTAGGCCTCCCCCACACGCAGACGAACCCGCAGCAGACTCTCTTGAAGTATAGGGGTTCTGGGAAATTGGATTTGGGTGTTGGGGCTGGAGGTGCACTGTGCACCGAGTGGCGAGCTTTGGGGTGGGTGGGCCCTAGAATCTTCCTAGTATGGGGAGTCTGAATGTACCACACAGCTGCACAAACTCCCAAAGGCACCAACTACAGATTGTAACAATTTTACGTGTTCGTCTAATTATTAACATTATCGTCATTCCCATTTTACAGACTAGCCAACTGAGGTTCAGAGTGACCAATGCGGGGCCACTGGAGGTGGGAAGGACAATAGTAAGAGCCAGCTCTTAGCAAGCACGGATTCGTCACGATCCCTCAGACTTTACAGGACTTCTACCGTTGAATCCACAGGGCAACCCTCCTACATGCTACTCTCTCTCTGTTTCACAAGTGAGGAAATGGAGACACACAGAGGTTGTTGCTTGCACAAGGTCATAGCTAGTCGGGGGGGGTGCCAGGGTTCAAACCCCGGCAGTCTAGCACTGGACCCTTACAGCTCTCTGACTAGACCCCAGCTTTGGAGATGCACCTCTCAGAAATCCAGAAAGGCTGGGATGGGGCATGCGCTTCTGGCTGCCTGTTGAGCAAGAAATAACAGGTTGTTAGTCCTTCAGGCAGGAAGGTGTGTTTGGCCTTGCTGTGACCGTTTCCATTTTTCTTTTTAATTTTTTTAATGTTTGTTTATTTTTAGAGAGAGAGACAGAGTGTGAGTGGGGGAGGGGCAGAGGGAGAGGGAGACACAGATTCTGAAACAGGCTCCAGGCTCCCATCTGTCAGCACAGAGTCCAGCGTGGGGCTCGCACTCACAGGCCGTGAGATCATGACCTGAGCTGAAGTCGGACGCTTAACCGACTGAGCCACCCAGGCGCCCCATGTTTTTCAATTCAACGCTCCAATACATGTTTCCAACCACGATTCTGACACAACAGATGTTCTGAGACTTAGGGGCCAGCCATTTGCCACGGTGCGCAATTCATTCATCCACTCATTCATTCATGGCACCCTCTGCCTGTAGGAAGCAGGTCACGGTGGGGAAACCTAGTTCACAGTCATGCCCTCAGACAAGCAAAGAGTGCCAGCTTGCAGTGGTGAGTCCAGAGACGCAGGAGGTGCCAACCGTCTGGGAGCCCTAGACGTTCAGAACCCAGACTGGAGAACTGGCCTCACTGAGCCATTCGTGGCCCAGTCCCCAAGGGGACAGAGGAGCGGGCTGAGTCTGGGTCTGGGGAGGGAGTGGACAGGCCAGAAGCCACTACAGCTCGATGGAGCTGTGGGTTCTGGGCTTAGCTGGGGATGGGCTGGGTGGGAAGGGGTGGGAGAGCCAGTGTAGGAGGAATCTCAGTGAAGCCCCTGGAAAGGCCCAGAAACCATGGCTCCAGGACAGGGCCCCCCCTGGTCACCTGGTGCTGCCGTCTATGCAGCACATATTTCCTGAGCACACGTGTACATTGGCCTCTGTAACAGCTCCTGACGGAACAGAGATCTGTGAGGTGAGGTCTCTCTCTGCACTGTCATTTTAGATTTATATACCCTGGTGTTGGCATCCATATAAATATGCTCACCAAAAAAAGTGGTACAGTCACGCTGGACTTGTTATTCAGAAACCTAGTGTGTACGCCATTTCCTGTTCAGCTCTGTCCTCGCTGATAAGCAGACATCTTGCTCATCCTTCTTGACTCCTATCCCAATGTCATCATGTAAATATTCTGCTTTGTACTTAGCCAGCCCCGCGCTGATGGACATTGAAGCTTTTGGCTTTGAGCCCTCACTCAGGGGAGAGCAGACCCCTTCTGCAGGGTGACAAGTTACAGTGCTAGTGATATTCATGTCATAATGGAGGACACAGAAGCCTGGGGCCACCTCCAGGCTGACAGACATTCCCCCCACCCCACCACCCCATGCACACACATTTCCATTCCACAGGGTAGTGGTGCTCCAGAAGCCCTTGGGACGATTCAATTGAAGCTATTGAGGGAGGGGTAAGGGCTTTCACACAGGAAGTCTTCCAGATTCCTTCACTTCTAATCTCCACAGGAGATCTGATATACTCCATGCTGGTCTGAGAGGGGGCTGCAGACAGGAGACCCTCTTTTCTCTATTATCACCAGGACCTGAGGACACCTGCGTATTTCATTTGCTGTCAGGCTTTTTTCTTTAACATGTATGTATGTATGTATAATTGGCATACAGTGACATACAATATTACTTTAAGGTGTACAACATTTTTTTTTTTATTTTTAAAATTGTTTTTTAGGTTTATTTTGAGAGAGAGCAAGAGAATGAGCAGGGGAGAGGCAGAGAGAGAGGGAGAAAGAGAGAGAATCCCAAGCAGGCTCTTCACCATCAGCACAGAGCCTCATGTGGGGCTCAGACTCATGAACCATGAGGTCATGACCAGCGACGAAACCAAGAGTCGGGCAGTTAACTGCCCGAGCCACCCAGGTGCCCCTAAGGTGTACAACATGTGATGTGATAATTCTACATATTACTCAGTGCTCATCAAGATGAGCGTAGCCATCCTCTGTCACCAACAACGTTATTTAAAAAATGATTGACTGCATTCTCCGTGCTGTACTTTTCATCTCCATGACATATTTATTTCATAACTGAAGGTTTGTACCTCTTAATCCTGCTTACCCTTTCTCCCACCCACCTCCCCTCTTGCATCCACCAGTTCTCTGTATTTCTCTTTGTTTGTTCATTTGTTTTTTTTTTTAATTCCACATATAAGTGAAATAATACGGTATTTGTCTTATCCATGTCTGATTTATTTCACTTAGCATAATACCCTCTAGGTCCATCCACGTTGTCATAAATGGCAAGATATTCTTTTTTATGGCTGAGAAATATTCCATATAGATAAATACCACTTCTTCTTTATCCATTCATCTATTGAGAACACTTTGTTGCTTCCATATCGTGGCTGTCGTAAAATAATGCTGCAGTAAGCATAGAGTTACATATATCTCTTCAAATTAGTGTCTTTGTTTTCTTTGGGTAAATATCCAGCAGTGGAAATCCTGGATCACAGGGTAGTTCTATTTTTAATCTTTTGAGGAACTTCCATACTGTTTTCCAGAGGGGCTGCACCAGTTTACATTCCCACCAACAGTGCATGAGGGTTTCCTTTGGTCCACATCCTCACCACCATTTGTTTTTTCTTGTCTTTCTGATACTCGCTATTCTGACCTATGCAAAGTGATATCTCATTGTGGTTTTGATTTGCATTTCCCTAATGATGAGTGATGTTGAGCATCTTTTCACATGTCTGTTGGCCATCTGTCTTCCTTGGAAAAACGGTTATTCAGATCTGCCCATTTTTAAATCAGGTTGTTTGGTGTTGAACTGTTTAAGTTCTTTATATATATTGGATTACCCCTTATCAGATATTGAAATGGATGAAGATACATTGCCTTTTTGTTTTGTTCATGGTTCCTTTTGTAGTGCAAAATGTTTTTATTTTGGTGTAGTCCTGAGTCTTTATTTTTGCTTTTGTTTCCCTTTCCTGAGGAGACATTATCTAGAAAAATGTTGCTAAGGCTGATATTACTGGCTCTGTTTTCATTTAGTGGTTTAATGGTCTCAGGTCTAACATTTATGTCTTTAATCCATTTGAGTTCATTTTTGTGCACGGTGTAAGCAGGTGGTCCAGTTTTATTCTTTTTCCATGTAGCTGTCCAGTTTTCCCGACACCATTTGTTGAAGAGACGTATATTCTCTTATGTATTCTTGCCTCCTTTGTTGTAAGTTAATTGGCCATATAATCTTGGATTTATTTCTGGTCTTTGTGTTCTGTTCTATTGATTTTTGTGCCTGTTTCTGTGCTAATACCATACTGTTTTGATTATTATAGTTTTATAGTTTACCTGATGGATTATGATACCTTCAGCTTTGTTTTTCTTTCTCAAGATTGTGTGGCTATTCGGGGTCTTTGTGGTTGATTAGTTCCAAATAAACTGGAATTATTTGTTCAATTCTGTGGGAAATGCTGTTGGCATTTTGATAGGGATTGCATTGAATCTGTAGATTGCTTTGGGTAATATGGATTAATGGTAATTAATGATATTAATTCTCCTAATCCATGAGCATGGTATATCTTTCTATGTGTTGTCCTCAATTTCTTTCATCAATGCAGATTTTCATCAATGATCTTTCATTAGTGAAGTTTTCAGAGTATAAAAGGTGCAGAGTATAAAAGTTCAGTTTTCACCTCCTTGGTTAAATTTATTTGTAGGTATTTTATTCTTGTTGGTGCTATTGTAAGTGGAATTGTTTTCATAATTTCTCTTTCTGCCACTATTAGTGTGTAGAAATGTGGAAGATTTTTGCATATTAATTTTGTATTCTGCAACTTTACTGAATTCATTTATCAGGTTGAATAGTTTTTTGGTGGAGTCTTTAGGTAGGTTTTCTA